ATTCTTTTTCTACTCTATAAATATTTCAGTGCAACAACCTCCTGAGGATACCTTTATATTCTGACCATTAGAAGCAAACACTTAAACTTGAATATTTTGATACAGGGTAACACAAAATTAGTAAATCTGAGCCAAAGCAGAGCTTTGAACAAGCTACTGTTGCAGATGGAATCATATTTGCTACCTGGTGCTTTAAATATTCATCTTTAGTCACATATTGATTCTGCCATTCAAATGTAAGCAAGGCAGTGTGGGTCAATAGACACAGAGCGGGCCAAAGAGTCAGAAAATGGGATACCACACACACCATGTTGTTTAACCTTCCTATTGCCTCATTTTCCCCAGAGTAAAATAGGGACAAGCTTCCTAAAGCACTTGGAGCGCTCTAAAATGAGAAGTACTTTATGAGTGATATATACTATTATTTGATTGATATTTTGATATTATAGCAGAAATAGCAGAAAGGTGACATGTCTAAGCACAGTGTCAAATGCAAGACCACACAGAAATAAACCACCAGTTTTGGCTGTATTGAAGAAGCTAAAAACTGCTGCCACTCAGAGCTCAGAAAGACAGCCAACATACCCTGAATATCTATTCATATTACTGATAAAGCCTGCTTATTGTGCTGTTGCACAGTAACAATGAACCACACTCTCACTGCAACTGCAGTTTAAAAAAACATCCACACTTAGTCAACTTCAGGGTTTTATCATTGCTGAACAAAAACAATGTGTTATTTATATTTATCTTATACCGTAGAAACAATTATCAGCAAACACTATGTTTATGGATATGCACTTTGGATTTTTAAAAATTAGACTTTATTTGCATGTAAACTAACATTAGGGCCACTGGTGCATTGCTAATGTGTCTGTTACAAACATCAAGCACCCGAGTTGCAATATATCAACCTATTTTTCACATATATGTTTTATGACCGTTTTGTCAACAAAGCCCAATAATTACTGACAACAGCCTATAACATAGTATCTCCTAGTGATTGCCCCAAGTACACTAAAAGGACCACATTCAAACTTAGCGTAACTTAGCATAAAACAAACTCCGTTATAAACAAAGCAGTTGAATCCTTCTGCACCACATCTGAATTTGGCTCTAAGCTGTACAATGTGAGACAGAATTCTCTGTATTAGTGTTATGCTGTCCTTTGTCAACATTTTGATAATGTGCAGAGTATATACCTGCTTGATTCATTTAAGATGGCAACACTGAAATACCTACAATTCCATAGCATATTTAATAGTGTTCATAATCAGGGCTCGCCAAGTGGCGGCAAGCCCCGCTTGCCAGCCGCACGGTTCTGTGCTCTACGCATGCGCAGATCACTTGTGCCGGCTCTTCCAGGTTGTAATCTACTCACCATGAGCAAGTATATTACATTATTTGTCGAGCCCTGTTCATAATTATGTTTGCCTAAAATAGCTATAAGAAGCTGTTTGTATTAGACATACATATACCTAAGGGTGTGTCTAAACTACAGGGTTTTATAGACAAAAGTGGACTTTTTGTCGACAAAACTATACCTGCGTCTACACTACTGCTGAGTTCTGTCGACATAACTCAGCAGTTTTGTCGATGGCAGTAAACCTCATTCTAGGAGGAATAACGCCTTTTGTCGACAGGGTTCTGTCGACAGAAGGTGTTATTGCATCTACGCTGTCCTTTGCGTCTACACTCTCATGTCGACAAAGTGGCTTGCTTCGTCAACAGAACTGGATGTAGTCTAGTCGCTCTTTGTCAACAGAAGCTTTATTGACAGTATCTGTCAACAAAGCCTCTGTCAACAAAAGCATGTAGTCTAGACGTACCCTATGGGAATATGCAATAACTCCTCAATTAGTCAAATGGTGTGTGTGAATGGCATTAAACAAATTCAGCCAAACTACATTTTGGATACTTGATGGCATTTTGAATGTAGTTAATAGATTTTGAAATACAGGAGTCTACGACTATGTCTACAATAGAGACCCTACAGCGGCACAGCTGTACCCATGCAACGGCTCCACCGTAACACTGTGCCTACATTTGCACTTGCTTGACAAAATTTGTGTTCATGGGTGCTTTAACAACCCCTCGCCCTCACGAACAACAAAGTTTTGTCAGGGCAAGTGAATGCGTGAACACTGCTTTGTCAGCTAGAGAAACCTCCTGGAAACAAACTGAAGCTGCATGTTGAGGTTAGAAGTATTTTGTGGGCAGAAATGCCGACAAACACCGGACACACACACTGACTTTCAGCGACGGGGCTGTGTTGACAGCCTTGTTGCTAAAAGCTGGATGGTATAGATGTCCTCAGTTCTTTTGTCCAGTCACTCTATGCCAAAGGGAGAGAGCTCTCTCCTCAACATAATTAAGCCACCTCCAATGAGAGGAGGTAGCTATGTCAGCAGGAGAAACTCTCCTGTTGACCTGGAGCTGTGCAAACTGCCACTTATGTTGGCAAAACTTGTCCAGTGAAACTCCTAAAAAAAATATCAATTTTGCCAATATAAATGGTAGCGTAGATATGGCATATACCAGGGTTCCTGTTGTAGGGAGTTTTGGATAAGAGACACTTCACAGACCAGTGGTGAGAGACAGGCCCTGCTCCATGGAGCTCTCAATCTGATTAGAAATACCAGACAAAACAAGGGCCACTGCTGCCTGGGGGAGGGGATACATGTACATAAAACAACTTAATCTGTGCTTAATATTTGGAGTCAATGCACAGTAACCAATTACCTTCATCAATTTTACTCAAATGAAAAAAACCCCACTTGCATGTTTAGTAGTGACAACTCATGAGACAGCATTGACAGACAGAATTTGAGATTAAACTAATAGTGTAGTACTTTGAAGTGAATAGGCTACTGCTACTGAATACCCTAAATGAAAGTTCTGAACCCTATTCCTCATGAAAACAGGCAGGACTGCACATTGGATAATTTGCTTCTATTCTGATATTACATAAAGTTTACTGTTTCTAATAACTATCAAAATTCATCTCTAGCTTTCTCCAACGTAAGAGCAAATCAGCCTCTCAGTGACCTACTCATGAGTCATAATCTTCACTGTTTACAATTGAGAAAAATGGTCTTCTCTGTCAGTATTTCCCAGACTGCTGTGGGTTCATTCCAAGAACCAATTTCATCTTCATTGGTTTCCTACAGGAAACCAAACCAACTTCCTATTATTTTATTTTCCTTACTTTCAGCCTGGCTCACATAAAATTAACTGGAAGTGAGAGTGATAGAAAATTTTATTCTATATAGACATAGGCCAACATAAACACCACCAGAAAACACTGTGGACATCATTGATTAAAAATGACCAAAACGTAAAATAAGCTAAGATTAGAATGTTTTTCTCTGAAAGCACCACACACATTAAAAGTGGTTAATTTACATAGGCTATTATTAAAGCAAGCTTTGCATAATTCTTTGCTTAATTCATGTGCTGATGAGAATGTTCACCAGCTACCATAAACTTATTGTGAAGGAACCAAACTCAGTGTCAGCAGCTATCTTTGAACATTTGGCATTGCTGAACCAATAAATAATCTTGATAATACCAAAGTATTTTTTGTTTCGAACATTTAAAAAACTAACATGCTTCCATTTAATTTTTATTTCTATGATCAGGCCAGTCATTAGTTGCTGTCTCTGGACATGATTTGCTTCTGCCGATTTAGACACAAGCATTTGAAACCAATTAGGACAGGTCTACTCTACAGTGCAATGTTGACCTAATTTATATGCAACTCCAGCAATATACTTTAGGTCCAATTGCCACAAGATCTCCACTAGGGTTGTCAATGCGTATTCGACTATATGATTAACCAATAAGCCTAGGCTTATCGGTTAATCTTGTTGACTAAATGCATTCCCCCCTGAGGAGCTGGCTTTAAGCAGGCTCCCCACGAGCACCGGATCCACCTGCCTCGACCCCCCCAAAGCCTGCACTGCTGCCTCAGACACGCAGAGGATGAGGGGGGAAGGCTGGAGCTGATATGTGCAAAGAGCCAACTTTCAAGCCAGCTCCCCACACGTATCAGTGCCACAGACCCCGTCCACTTGCTGCCTCTAGAGGTGGGGTGGGGGGGAGGCATGAGTTGGTGACGGAGGATGCAACTCATACTTATTGAAACAGTATTTTTTTTTAAACTTTGTGTTGTCCATTTTCACACAGCAAGTCTTTGAGTAGCACCCATCCTTGATAAATTAAAAATGGGGAAAATGTATTGGGGGACTCTAAGTTGTCAGCCCCACAGAGCTCTCAGTTTGCAACCTCCATCTAATCACCTTGCACCCCATGATAAGTCACAACCCCCAGTCTGAGAATTTCCAGCACTAAAATTGGCTAATATTTAGGTAATACAAATATATAAAAATAAAACAATGTAGGGCTGCTGCAAACCATTCCAAAAACAGAAACCAGTAGGATCAAAGGAAGACGACTAGTGGACAGAGGAGCAGCACCAACTCCAAGACTGCTATTTAGAGGCTTTGGGTGAATATCAAACTAAATTTTTCACCTGAAAGTCTTCTGATCAGAACTGAGAACAGCACGCAAGCTATTTGGAATTTTTTAGTGAGGTTCGTTCAAGTTATCATATCGGCTAAAAATAAAATATTACTTTAAAACAGCGTTTTGATTAACACACAAACCAACAGTGTCTTCTAATAGGACTTCTTCTCAGGACATTTTGAACCCAATGTTATTTCAAACGGTGGAGAGATTAAGTCTCAAATTGGGGACAATGTTGGCAATGCCAATTTAACCTCATATGACCCCTTGAGGTTTAATTTTACATTCAGTATGAAAACTGAAACAGTATTCAGTATCATAGCAAACATTATCAACTTAATTTAAAGCACAGCTCACATGTTAAAACTAATTTCTGAAATGAGGTAGGGGCTGTGGATTAAAATGATGAATAGAAATACAGAGCACACAATCACTAACCATTCAAAACACTGTCAATGTTGAAAGTCACTTACTTTGACATGGCTCTGAGCTCCCAAGTTGTAGATTTCAGTGGGTTTCACTTCATTGATTATTTTCACCAGGCAAGTACTGTCAGTGAGATCACCATAGTGCAGCTTCATATCTTCGGATTTCAAGAATACATAGTTAGACTAATAAAAGTAATAAAATCTAGTTCTCAAAACTCTACAGTATCCTTAAAACACACACACACACACACACACACACACACACACACACACACCAACCACTCAGGTAAGAAATTAAAATAAAAATGTCTCGATAATTATTTTTAAAAGGTATATTCTTCCTTACCAGAAGTTTTACAAGTGGCAATATTTATGATACTTGCTTTATTTGTTGCACTTCATTCAACTAGGATGTTTAAACTCAAGTGGGCAGCTTCACTTAAGGTATGTCTAGACTATATGCCTCTGCCGACAGAGGCATGTAAATTAGACTACCCAACACAATCAATGAAGTGGGGATTTAAATATTCCCCGCTTCATTAAAATAAAAATGGCCACCATGCTGTCAGCACAGCACGGCAGTAAAGATGCGATCAGTCAACAGGGAACGTCTTTGTTGACTGCTCCCTTTTGCCTCGTGAAATGAGGTTTACGAGAGCGGTCGACAAAAGCGTTCCCTGTAGACCGATCTGCCAAAGTCAGAGCTGAATTAAAATTCAAGGGTTTCTGTACCAAGTTCTAACTACTCAGATCAGAGTGTTCAAGCTAAATGAGGCTAATACAGAGGGCTCTAAGTACCCAGGGCTTAGCTTTTTGGAATATAGGTATGAATATAGCAGTATTTCTCAACTTTTTTTAAATAAAGGACCCCCTTTTAAAAAAAATTGTAAGTACCCCCAGCACCTACAGTTTTTAGACACTTTTTTTTCTACCATTGACACACATTTGTTTAAACAACTTAATCGTAGCCAGGCAGACATGACATTTTTGGGTGTAAAATTGTAAAGCAGAATAGCAAAATAATGTAACAACTCCACAGTTGTGTAACAAATATGTAACAATCCAACTGCTAAGTACTGTAACCCAATGAAAGCAAATGCAACATCCAATGTATCACCATGAATAATGTATGTAAGATACAGGACTGATGTTATTCTAAGTCTGTATATGTCAATTCACCCATTCACAATGCATGTAAACTTGAATATGGAAAATTCTGCAATATCTCAAAATGGAGTCTGAAACTCCATTTTGAAAACCACAAAACTGTCTTTGGGCATCCATTTGAGGTTTGAATTCTATCATGTCCACAGGTAGCAGTTAGAGTTTAAAAATACCAACTCACCTACCTGTTGTAATTTGAATGAGCTATGAATATTCATTAGCATCCTACAACAACCAATTAAATTCAAACCACGCTATAAGAGCATCTCTGTTAACCCATCATTTCAAACTTAGAACACTCATGAATATGCATGAACCCAGACTATTTAAGTCTCTGCTGCACAGCAGTTGCTGTTGCGTCGGGTTCTTGTTCCGTCGGGATAGGTTCTAGGCTAGGTTAGAGAGAGAGAGAGTGAGTCATCCTTGTCCTAGGTGTATGATAGAGGTCCTGTAAAGATATTCTTCTAGAGAAGCTAGCGGAAGGCTATGCTACCTCTATTTTATATAATATAGTATTTTCTTGAGTCAGGCTGCCGGAAGGCCAGACCTCCTCAAATAGATTAGTTAGGTTAGTTAGTTTAGTATTTTAGTTAGATTAGTTCCCGTCATCGAGTCTGTACGTCAGGCTGTGTCGGTCCACGCATGTCGGCCATTGTCGTGTCTGTTCGTCGGGCGCGTCGGGATTAGTTTAAGGTTTTATTTTTAGGATAGGATTAGAGTAGATAGAACAGAGTCATCAATTGCCTGATCCGGCTGCACCGAAGCGCAGAGAAGAGGCAGCGAGGACCAGAGGGCTTCACAGAAGGTGAACCGACCGTCTTCGTCCTCCATCCATGCTTCGAGGGATCTCCTGGGCTGTTCCTCTCCCGCGGCTTTAATTAGCCAACGGATTGTAGGTCGCCTAGCGTCGAGATCAGCCGACGAGGGACGCCTAGCTGTCCTCCCTAAAGGCTTTCAATTAGCCTGAAGGTTGTAGGTCGCTAGCAACTCATCAATCGTCTCCGTCGCCGTAGACTCTGTATAGGTATAGGGGCCTGGAGGGACTTCCCCTCCTGGTCCATTTAGTGTAAAAAGAGGACTGCCCCCTCATCTGTTCCTTCAAGGCACTGTTTGTTAAAGTTGTTAAATAATATAGTCTTGTGGTTTTCACTGAAAATTCGGTCTTAAGTTTTCATTTTATACGCGCCTAATATCCCTGAGAAATTATATAGTCTCCGGTAATTAGATATGGAGTGAGAGTCGCACCTAAGATACCATCCCTAGCGGATGAGACCAGGGTACGGTTACAAAGTATCCATCTGGAGTAGCTAGTCTACATGACACTTCTCCATCTGTTCAAAGATTACTGTAACAAAATGTACAAAGATAATAAATCACTGTAAAACTTAAAACAAAAATTCAGTGTTCTCCAAACATCAGTTGTGTTGACATACCCCCCACACTTCTCTCAAGTACCCCTAAGGGTAGTCGTACCACAGGTTGAGACACACTGGAATGTAACAGCCCATCTAGTTCAGGTCTTTGTTGAGACCTCAATTCCAGGTATCAAACATGTACATGAAACCAAATTCTGCAGCTTCTCTTTTAAGCTGTTTTTTTTAATTGCTTTGTAATAATATAATCACTTTCAGATCCATTAGTGAGTGCAAGTTGAAATGTTCCCAAACAGGTTTCCGTGTGTTACCATTTCAAATATCTGTGTCCATTAATCCTATATCACAGAGACTATCCAATTTGGCCAATATACCAGCTTCAAAGAAAAGCTGCAGAGCTTGGCTTCATTTACAAGTTTGACACCTGGAATCGAGGTCTGAACAAAGACCTGAACTAGATGGGCCACTCACTATATTTCACACCCTAATCACATAAAAAGGTAAGCACCAGATAATTACAGCCCATTCTATTAGTCTCATTTAGCATTGGCGGTCTAACTGACAATATTTTTCCCCTCCCTTTCTCTGCTATTTGTACCCTGGACCCCTTACTCCATTCAAATGAAGAAGTGGAATGTGCCCATGAAAGCTCATGATACCATCTACATTTTTTATTAGTCTCCAAGGTGCTGCAGGACTATTTGTTGTTTTTTTAATTTTTTTCAGTTACAGACTAACACAGCTACCCCTCTGATACTCAGACCAGGCCACTAGAGTACACTGCTCTCTCCTTCTCTCTCAGCTATTTATGACAATTATTTTTTCACTCTCCCCAAACACTGTACTTATATATAATGCTTCTGGAAATGTACCTACCATTTTATAAACAGTGCAATTAAAGAGGAGCACCTCCACTGATGCCTGTTGATTACTCTGCATGGGCACTTATGCCAATGGCTTATATCAGAATATGAAAAGAACAAAACATACTGTCATCTATTACTAATTTGTATGAAGGATGTAGGTCAAAAATAATATCCTGCTAAGTTCTGTTCACGGGCAGCTGACAACAAAGCTAACCAAAGCCATCTATAGGTTCGGGGGACAGATAGCTCAGTGGTTTGAGCTTTGGCCTGCTAAACCCAGGGTTGAGAGTTCAATCCTTGTGGAGACCATTTAGGGATCTGGGGCAAAAATTTATCAGGGATAGTACTTGGTCTTGTTGTGAAGGCAGGGGACTGGACTCAATGACCTTTCAAGGTCCCTTCCAGTTCATTCATTAATTATTTATTTGGACAGCTTGTTACTGATAGTTTTTCCAAGGCTCAGCTTCTATTATTCTTTGAAAACATAATATACAAACTATTCTATTGTCCACTAGTACCTATGGCCAATTTCCCTTCTGCAATGGATTTCACATTGACAACGAGTATTAGATACAGAACTGAGTCAGAGAGAAAGAGGGTTTTGTATTAAACAAACAAACAAGACTGCATAGTACAAGATGCTGAGATCAAGTCAGTTTGCCTTCTTAGGAATGCTAATATCACAAACTTTTCGCAGGCTGAAAATTTAGATACTACTACAATAAGACTCAGCACTACTGACCTGAAAGCTTTAGGTTCTAAACTTAGTGAATTAACACTAAGACCACATCAATACAAACAAGATGATCAACGTTTCAGTAGTCAACCTTCTGTCACTTGATTTAGTGGGTCTAGTAAAGACCAGATAAATCAAATGCTGAGAGTGCCCCCACCGATCATGGTACACCTTGCTGTTGCAAGGAGCAAGGGAAGTCAATGGAAGAGTTTCGCTCATCAACCTCCTGCAGTGGGAAGGGTGCCAAAGTTTGGTTTAAGGTACGTCGACTCCAGCTACGTTATTTTTATAGCTGGAACTGCCCTTGCAGTATAGACCTGGCCAAAGGAAAAAGTAATTTAAAAAACCCTTCACAATAGGCAATGCTTCATAACATTACTGACAAAAATCTCAACTGTGCTTAGATATATTTGTCATGAAGCTGTTTTTTATTCTTTTCTGATTTACTTACTTACTGCCCGTTACGCCAATGGCGCATAGGGCAGCAACAAAGTCCTTCCACTTCTGTCGGTCACAGGCCAAAGCGCCTATTGTTCCCCAAGTGTGATGATGGTCTTTTAATTCTTGTTCTACCGTTCGGCGCCAGGTTGTTTTTGGTCTTCCTCTCTTTCTCTTCCCATCTGGTTTCCAGTGGAGTGCAATTTTCGTAATAGAGCCGTCCTCTCTTCGTAACACATGACCTATCCATCGCCAGCGTCTTTTCATAATTATAGTGGCCATGTCTTCTTGTTTACACTGAGACAGTAGATCTTCGTTGGAAATTTAAAAGTAAAAATCTGATTTGGTTAGTTTCTAATTAATATGTGAAAAAGGAGGTATCAGCATAAGCCAGCGTCTGTCAACATCAATATACAAAAGCTTTTCAACTTTGTTCTTGTTCTCAAACTACTTTCTGCAGAGAATTCACTCTCATAATGCATTTTATTCATCATGATAAATATATTTTAATATTTCTAATGTCAAAAATAGCATAAATACGTAGAAGCGGCGAGGAGTCATGTGGCACCTTATAGACT